TATCCCTGGCCATGAATCCCAGTCCCATCTTTGTCCTCTGGACTGGTAAGTTTTTATTTCTTGCCCCCACATTTCTCTCCTGCCTAAGAAAGTCTCTCCCTCTCAGAGATCACTTTTGCAGGATCCGCTGATGGCTTTGGTTTTGTAGAATCTAGCCCACACGTTGGCCCATGCAATCTTTGCTTCGTGTACCTCAATGTCTCCTTTCCGTCATTCATGAAGACCCCAGAGTTGTCAGCCTTAGGGAAATGTCAGGGATGAGAATTATCATTAATTCCATCCAAAGGCAAAACCATTTAAATATATGGGGTGGTACTCACATTTTAGAGTAAGATACTTTAAAATAGTTTCATCTTTTTTCTCAGTTTTCAGCTCCTCTCATACTGATAATGGTTCTACAGTAATGGCCACCCTTGAATACCTTTCCCAAGTAGCTGTTATTAATCTGTCAAAAAAACACCTTAAAAATTGTAATATAAATAGAATATTTCCCCAGGGTCTTGTCAAATTTGGAATGAATTGCTAAAATCGACAACATATTCATCTTGAATTTCCATGTAATGTGCAATGTAGTATGACAGAACAAAGCATGTAATTCAATTACAGTTAATTTTAACCAGTGATCCAGAACCCACTCAAAAAATTATTGCTTCTCTATTCTGAGGCCATGCTTATAATATTGTTTAATAGTTAATTTTGAATTTGACAAGTCCCTAGGAATATTTTATTGATACTCTGTGGCAGCATTTTTACTTGTTTGATCTTCCAAAGAGCTTGTTATTTTTTAAATGGGCCACCAGTTTCTCTTTTACCATTTACTTCTTTGTTGTTCTGTTGAAAACGTGATTGAGGAGTGGGAGCCTTCTGTTTGCCCAATTTAAATTTTTATTTGATGCCTGAGCGATTCTTAAGTTTAAACCGCATGTTCGATCTTAGTGATTCAAATAGTAGTTTGTGGAACTGTGAGTGAATAATAATAATGAACTATCAGGTTCAACCTCTAGTCTAGTCAACTAAACGCTCTGGAACTCTACCCTGCATGAAGGGCGCTATATAAATGTAAGTTGTTGCTGTCTTGGTTGAATTTATTCATTCAATTCGAGTGGTGAAGAAACACATTGAGTAGCCCTGATACTTAGAGAGAAGAACTATCAAGCAGGGTCCTACTCCTGACAATACTCGAATGACTCCTGCTCTCAGACGTGGAGTTAAGTGAGGATAGGATCGAGCTCAGCTGTGACGCCCCCTGCAGATGAATAGCCGGACAGTACTGATGGTTTTGGGCAGACAAATCTTGGCGTGCAATCATTTTTTCAGGAATCTAAAGAAAGGGGAAGTGACTCTCTGCTGACGTTAGTTATGTGAGAAAAAAAAGCAGCAAAATAAAATGATCTAGCACCTGGACGTGTTAACAATTAAAATCTCTGGACTTTCAGCATTTGACATTTTTTAAAAATGTGTTCACTCAATCCACGACTGTTTGTGGGACCTCTGCTGTATGCAATTGGCTGCCATGTTTTGGCCACAAAATATACAGTCAATTCACTTTACAGTATATTCTGTGAAGCTTTGAGACGTCTGAACGACCTGATAAGACGTTATATGAAATGCAAGGATTATTATTCTCTGGATGAAAAAGATTGCCGACCTCAGGTCTAGAGGCATCCATGATGAATATCTTCTTAGGCGAGTTAGTGTCTATTGAATTGTATTCCAGCAGAAGTTAGCACCTTTAGGAGAAGAAAGAGGGAGTAAACATTGTAGTGTAAAAACATCTCATGATATTCTTAGCAAGAACAGCTATACAGTAGAGTTTCTGTTTTCAGTTCTTTAAGGGTAGTGACAGATATGGGTAGCCATTCAGCTGTTTAAGGAGGTCTGAAAGACATACAGTTGATACTATAAAGCATCACAATGTAGAAAAAACCAAGAGGAAGAATGCCATGAAACCACAGTCCTCAAAACAGAACTTTCTCAACTGCTGTCGAACTTAGATGAATATAGAGCCTTTAATGGCACTGTGGATGTTGGCTTTATGGCTTTGCAACATCAATAACAACACATTACATTTATTTCACTTGGATACCCCATTTGCAATAGGCTTTTGCAACACTCATTATTGCAAAATAAAAATGATTACAAAATAAAAATTACAAAATAAAAACAAAGCAAAAATGAAACAAATGTACCTCACCAATCTCAAGCTTATATTGTGATACGGATCAAATTCCGCTGACTTTGTTTTACTTTTTATTGCATTATTAGTATCTTTGATTGAAACTGTGTTTCAACAGTCACACAAATGTTTCAACAAACTTAATGGAATGTTTTGGTACAATATTTTTGTTGCAAAGCATGTGTAGCCCTGCAAAAGTTGTGGGAATAAACTGTAGGTCTGTAATTCATCTCTGTCCAATGGTATTTTATGTTTCTAGTGTGTGGTAGTTCAAAAAAAAAGTTTCAAAATAGTCATTTTGTTTCATAGTTTTGTTTTTCTTGGATTTTGTTGTGTTTTGTACAAAAATAAGAAGAATTGGGGTTCAGTAATCGACTACCATTAAACATGTCTGTTTTTTCAGAACATAATACCTTTGATATTTTAACATAATTAATCTATGGTGTTTAACAACCAGCCCAACAAATTGGCTTATACAGGGGTCAGTTTCCTCAGTGTTTTATACTGTAATGCCCTCTACAGACAGAATAATGCCATGCATTCTTTCTCGGCAATTTCGTTGTTTTATATTTTTCTCATCCTTTTTGTGCCTGAAAACCTTCCCCCCCCCCCCCCCTTCCGCTAGAATACGGTTCCATTGGTGCAATAATCCCTTCGTTAACCTGTTCCCATCAGAATCCACCCCTGTCCAGCCCTCGGAGACCCTACCCGGCACCAGGGGCACCCTATAAGTGCAAGGCGTTGTTGTTTTCCATGTTGTTATTTTTCACGTGTGAGCTTTGATGGTAGATATTGAAATTGAATATTTACCAAAACAGACTTGAATGAACAAGGCGATTTGATGAATTCTTCCAAAAATCCGGTCTTCAAACATTTCTTGTTGATAAACTGGTTGTTTGATTATGTGAGGCATTGGGGGAATGTGTTCTTTGTTTATTTCTGCTCTGTATCATCACAAGTGATTTGGGGATAAAGTGAAACTGAGAATATAACTGCTGACTTTAAAAGAACAGGAAAGTGTGAGTGCAGGAGTCTCTGTTGTCCAGGAACAGTGAGGCCGGTTATAAAATCCTTACCACTACCCCGGCTAACGTTAGTTAGTTAGTTAGTTAGTTAGTTAGTTAGTTAGTTCAGGACAAACTGAGTATTTAAACATAGGATTGTCGACGTTGAGCAATGCTTGTACCGACTGTGCCAACAGCAAAACCATCACGGAAACGAAAAGGTTAACTCTACAAAAAAGGTTTTCAATTTGGTGGTGTTCTTAGCACAAAGTCCGACAGAAAAAGGGAAATATGAGACAAGAAGCAATGTAATGTGTTTTTCTACGATGTTAATTCATTTACCTTGCGTCTCGCCTTTCTTTCCAAAAAATGTTCAAAAAACTTATTGACAAATTCAGTTCACGTTATGGAAACGAGCGATTTCCCAAACTTGAAAACTTTACTTCAACAATACACCACTAGAGCGCACACATGCAACATTTTCTTTCGACTTCACAATTCTCCTATCTCGGAGTTAAAAATTTTTTAATGTTAATTATGTAACCTGAAACGAAAGGCAAAAGACACTTGTGTTGTACTAATATCCGGTATCTGGGAAATACTAAATGTTTCTTTGATAATAATATTTAACCGTAAGTGACATTGGAAAGTCAATGGAAGGTAATGTATTTCCTAGTTTTCAGAGAAGAATTAAACTGAAGACACGTGATCAGTTCTGTCAGGTTGTATTCAACAGGATTGACGATCACTCATATTCATTAATTTATGGAATATATTTAGAACGATTTCTCACTGTCAAAGATAAATGTGTGTGTGTGCTCCTGTGCTAATGCTGTGTGTGCGTGTTCCTGTGTGTGTGTGTTCCTGTGTGTGTGTTCCTGTGTGTGTATTCCTGTGTGTGTGCGCTCCTATGTGTGTGTTCGTGTGTTCCTGTAGTTGTGTATTACTGTGTGTGCTCCTGTGTGTGTGTATTCCTGTGTGTGTGTGTGTGTGCATGTTCCTGTGTGTGTGCGCTCCTATGTGTGTGTTCGTGTGTTCCTGTGTGTGTGTTCCTGTAGTTGTGTATTACTGTGTGTGCTCCTGTGTGTGTGTGTTGCTGTGTGTCTGTTACTGTCTGTGTGTGTGTGACTGTCTGTGTGTGACTGTGTGTGTGCGTGTTCCTGTATGTGTGTCCCTGTGTGTGTGACTGTCTGAGTCTGTGTGTGACTGTGTGTGTGTGTGAGACTGTGTGTGTGTGACTGTGTGTGTTTGACTGTCTGTGTCTGTGTGTGACTGTCTGTGTGTGACTGTCTGTGTGTGACTGTCTGTGTGTGACTGTCTGTGTGTGTGTAGTGACTGTGTGTGTGTGTGACTGTCTGTGTGTGTGTAGTGACTGTCTGTGTGTGTGTGTAGTGACTGTCTGTGTGTGTGACTGTCTGTCTGTGTGTGTGTTGTGACTGTCTGTGTGTGTAGTGACTGTGTGTGTGTGTGTGTGTCTGTCTGTGTGTGTGTAGTGACTGTCTGTGTGTAGTGACTGTCTGTGTGTGTAGTGACTGTCTGTGTGTGTGTAGTGACTGTCTGTGTGTGTGTGTAGTGACTGTCTGTGTGTGTAGTGACTGTGTGTGTGTGTGTCTGTCTGTGTGTGTATAGTGACTGTCTGTGTGTAGTGACGGTCTGTGTGTGTAGTGACTGTCGGTGTCTACGCCGCTCCCGCGTCGACTGACACACGACGCGCTCGCGGGCGCGTGCGCGTGTGGGGCCTGAGCGAGCGAGCGAGCGCGCGCGCGAGCGCTCTGACGCCACGACGCTGGCCGACCCGACCCGACGTGCTGACGGTGGACGCCGGCAGGTGCGGTGCGTCGCGCGTCGCGTCGCGCTGTGGCCGCTCGTGAGAAGGAAGCGGCGGCGAGAGAGAGAGAGAGACGGGAGGAGCGGCGGCCAGAGAGACACGGGGAGGGCAGCGAGCCGCACTGCGCCACCCACCGGCAACCGTGAGTCCCCTCAGCCCAGCCCCAGCCTCCTCACCCCCCGGGCACCTCCTCACTCCAGCCCCGAGGCCTCAGCTGCGGCCTAGTCGGCCCTCCCCGGGTGAGCTCGGCGTCTCTGGGCGGGCGCGGCGGCGGCGGCGGTACAGGCCCCGGGATCAACCCCCTGAGGCGCGCCCGCCCGCCCGCCCGCCCGGGACGGGAGGCGCTTCACCACGCGACCGCCCGGCTGACGCGGTCCCAGGCCCAGGCCCAGGCCCCGGTACCGACTGAGAGCCGCTTGAGTCCGGACTCCGGGCTCCGGGCCCCGGGCCCCGGGCCGCCGCCGCCGCTGTGATTTCATGGCTGTTGCTGGTGACCGTTATGTGTTGAGTTTACGTTCTGTGGAAGCGGTTTGGCTGAGCCGAGGCTCTCTCCCCCCCTCCCCCCCCAGTATAGTCCCCCCCTAATTGCCCCCCCAGTACAGTCCCCCCCTAATTGCCCCCCCAGTATAGTCCCCCCCTAATTGCCCCCCAGTACAGTCCCCCCTAATTGCCCCCCCAGTACAGTCCCCCCCTAATTGCCCCCCAGTACAGTCCCCCCTAATTGCCCCCCAGTACAGTCCCCCCCTAATTGCCCCCCAGTACAGTCCCCCCTAATTGCCCCCCAGTACAGTCCCCCCTAATTGCCCCCCCAGTACAGTCCCCCCAATTGCCCCCCAGTACAGTCCCCCCTAATTGCCCCCAGCACAGTCCCCCCAATTGCCCCGCCCAAGTACAATCCCCTTTATTTCCTCCCCCCCTCCCCAGTCCAGTCCCCCACTATCCCTCCCAGTCCAGTCCCCTTCTAATACCCCTCAGTACATCCCCCCCTTCTATTCCTCCCCCAGCCGACCAGGATTACTCTTTCTCCCCCTGGACTGGGCTGTCTTGGGTTGGGGAAAGGCTGCGTATAAATACATTTGTTGTCTCTTCCCTATTCCTTAACTGGGGCAGACAATCTGTCTGTCTCTCTTCCTGTCTCCCTCCCGCCTGCTCCTTTCCCAGGGAGATTTGTCTATTCGCCTCTCCCTGCACCTTTCCTGGGTGGTCCCGTTCTCCAGTTGCTCAACTCCCTGGGTTCATTTTGTACCTCTCTTTAATGGAGTGATTTTATTTTTTACACACCTTTCCCCCAATCCCTGGGGTTTTCCTCCCCCCCCCCCCCCCATCTCCTTCTGCGTGTTTGCACCTGTTTGACATTCTGCAGCTTCTTGTCACACAACCGCAGCGATGTTTGACATTCCTGCCAGCAATACAGTAGTCACATCATACCAAAAAAGACTTAGTAAATTGATACCTAAAGATAATGCACAGATTTAATATTTCCTTGACTATAACAATGGAACTAGAATATTGAATATATCTTTAAAATAAATGTAAAATTCCATTGCCAAGGCTCTTGCATGTTGCAGGTCTTTCTGGTGCTTTCAGTCGGTCTGTTAATGTGCAAATAAGTGACTAAGATAAATGTATTAACAGATTTATCCTGACTCAGTGTTGCTCTGTCCTCTTGGGTTACAAGTGACCTCAAAGGGTCCTAATGGCTTATTATACTCTGTAACTTGTGAGTGGAAAGTATAATGCCAAATTCATATCTACATATTTCCCTTCCAACATTTCTGAAAGTTTTAGGTATGCAGGGATTAAAGCAATCACTGTCTTGTGTGTGCTGGTTTTATTAGAGTAGCGAGTTTGTCATGAGATTATACAGACCAGACAGCGCCGAAAAATATTTGCAAGCCACTTTAAGGTATGTAGGCCTTTGAATTACTGCGGTACTGTGCTCTAATGCTGGTGTGTGGCATGTTGCCAGTATATTTACACCAGCTCGGATTATTTTGTGCTCATTTCAGCGGACTGATAGTGATGCAGCATAGTAGTGGCTTTAAATGTGTTACCAGCAGATTGATATTTTCCAAATCGTATTACTTGCCTGATATAGAATAATAATACTAGCCCTTGCACTTGATATAGTGCTTTATCACATCTTTGAGATGTCTCAAAGTGCTTCGCAGAATATACTGTAAAGTGGATTGACAGTATATTTTGTGGGCGAAACCCTGCAGGCAATTGTGCGCAGCAGTGTCCAACAAACAGCCGTGGATTGAGTGACCAAATTATTATTTTTTTAAAATTATTTTGAAGGGATTATTACCCTCGGAAAAGTGATCATAATCAACTAACAACCAGGTATACATGGAGGAAGGAAACTTGCCTACTATTCCGCCCTGCCCGGGAATCAAACCCAGGTTCTCTTGTTTGCAAGACGAGTGCTCTAACCAATATGCTACAAGAGTCCCCAATAAACTGTAACCATCTGATTTTACTAGATATATGAATTCTCACTAAAGTTATGAATGTTAGCAAACACAAATGACATTGCATTGTAACTGAAAGCCGCATTCCATTAAGTAAACAAAGGGATCTAGTTTAAAAAGAAAGTTAAATCAATATTGTGGTCAGATATCTTTTTTAAGACATCCTCAAAGTACTGTTTATGGTAGTTTAATGTGAAGATTTGGACAGGAGATAGAAATGGGAATACTATTATAGCAAAATGTTTATTTTTTTAAACTATCTCACTTTGTATTGTACTATTGAGAATAGTCTGACATGAAATGAGTTGCAGAGTGGTTTATTTTGGACACTTTATTTGTAAGTACTTCCTAAAGCCCCTGTATTTGCCCTGTAGGTGATTTGAGGACATTTGAAGAAGTTTCTATATTTTTCCCATTCCCTAATGCTATGCTGACTGAGGGTGAATAGGCAATCTAGTTTTAGGCCTCTACCTTGGTGATCCTGCTCGGAGTAGGTCACACTTGTAATTTGATCTTTTCTGATTATCCATTTCTCTGGCAAATTTCTTCACTCCTCCCTGATGTCGCCCAATAAAAATAAATTGTGAATTTAGACTTTCTTTCTGCTGTATGGCACGGTGGGTTTTATTGTTGGGGGAAAAAAACTTCAAGGTCAGTTAGATGTTGTGATGTGCTGGTAAACTATTAATTTTGCAAAGAGCAGTAAGAAAGAACTGATGAAATTCCTGATGTATAAATATAAGAATATAGATTATGAATCGTTTAATCCCGAGATAGAGCTAGAACTTTTTAAGAATAGATTTGGCATTTGTATCATAAAGTAGAAATAATGTTGATGCCACCCACATGGCTTCAGCTTGTGATCATCACCTGGACTTTTAATTGTGAATTGGTACATTGTACCTCACAAATGTTTTGTTAATGTGTTATTGAAAGCAAGTAGTTGCATCATGTGAAATTACTCCAATTTGACTTTGGAAAGTGGGTGATTGAAAATGTTCATCGACCACATTAATAGAAAGTACAGCTCAGAAACAGGCCATTCGACCCATCCAGTTCAGCCAGTGCTTATACTCCACGTGAGTGCTAATAAGAATAATCCTTGCATTTGATATAGCGCCTTATCACGTCTTTGAGACGTCTCAAAGTGCTTCAATGGAATATACAGTAAAGTGAATTGACTGCGTATTTTGTGGGCGGAACGCAGCAGCCAATTGCGCACAGCAGTGTCCCACAGTGTCATGGATTGAGTGACCAAATTATTCTTTTTAAGGGATTATTGCCCCCGGAAAAGCAATCCACCAATCAATTAACAACTGGTTTCCTACTTACTGCTAGGTCAACAGAGGCGTGTGGAGTAAGGAAATTTGCCTAAAGTTTCACCCTGCCGGGAATCAAACCCAGGTCCTCTTGCTTGTGAAGAGATTGCTCTTAGCAAAATGCTGCGGTTAAGCCAGGAACGTTGGAACATTCTTTAAAAAGTACTAACTTATTTACCCTCTATTAGCCTGGGTATTTTTCATGGTTGCGTCATAGCTATTTGTTGACGTTTTCACAAAAAGTGAAGTGGGCACAGAAGTTCCCCATTTGATTATATATTCATGATAGATAACCTAGTTTTAATCAGAGTATTTTAAACTAATGCGTACATTTTTAGGATCAAAATTTTTCTGGTACATATCAACATATTGCATGTTCTTTGTTCAAATAAATGATTAGTAAGCATTTGGGAATCTGATGCTACAAAAGTCACAGCTTTACAAATGATGATGGATCGGCAATGGAAGGATACAATCCATTACTTGCATGGAGGCATATTTTGTTCAGATTGCACTCAAAGTTCCCACAACTGAGTGGAATTTCCCAACCAGGGGGTGGGGAGAAGACCGCATTCTTCAGTTTCTATAAGTTGTGCAACTAATTAAAATGGAGCGTTCCATTGGAATTCCAATTTGAATTTGGTAGCAGAATATAGATCGATGTTTGCTTATCTCTAGAAATAGTACTTTACTTTAATTGCAGTTACAGTTTCATTTTCTAAGAATAGTTGCAGTTGAAGGTAAATATTGTGATAACAAAACTGAACTGTTCAAAGGAATGTTTGAACCATGTAAAGATATGGGCTGGTAGTCGAGTCCCATTTACTTACCTTTTCTCCATTCCCCTCTAGCTGACACTTTTCTTGACTCTTGAAGGCCAATGTGTATTTTGCCTCAACTACCGTTCCCGGCAGGGCATTCCATATCTTAACTACACTGCGTGTATAATAAAAAAAGTGTTCTCCTAAGCTCCCCATTTACTTGTTTACTAATATCTTGAATTGATTCCCTCTATTTATAGACTCATTGTAATAGTGATGCTAGAACTGGCAATTGTGCCCATGGATTAGGGAGAAGAATGATCATCAGAGTTTCTGCTCCTTATCAACGTGCAATAAAATTTGCTGTAAAGTGCACTTGAATAATTAAGACATGATTAGCATCGCTTTGATTTTTTTTCCCTTTCTCCCCACCCCCAGGGCATATAACCTGTCTAGATTCATACATGAATAGCCATTTGGTTAAGGTATCAAAGGATGTCTCGTCACCATGAAACCAAAACGCTAGCTTGAGTCAGGAGCAGAAGGGGGAGGAGAATAAGCTAAGTAAATAAACTTTACAGTATATTCTATGAAGTGCTTTGAGGTGTCTCAATGACGTACAAAGGCGTTATATCAACTGCAACGATTATTATTAAGACAATAGCTCCTTTATCCTTGGTGGAAGCAATATACCCATTAAAAATGACTGAAGGAGCATTATGTGGTCACAATTGTCAAACACACATTTAATTGACGAAGAAATTGAGGAGATGTGAACAGGTTATTGAGCAATAAAAATTCTTGTCTTACCAGCATTTTGCACAAGTTCTTGTGGGTGTTGGTGGGGAGAAATAAGCTGAGTGTGAGCAGAGGCTGGGCTTCGGAGAGAGAGAAAAAATCAAAACACCAGTTCGTCCTGTTTCCTTTGATTGAAATATCGGTCGCTAACCAGTTTGGGGGCAAGAGGATAAGGGGGAGAGGAATGCACAAACATGGTGTGTTCTAGAAAGTCAGCGGTGCTCATGTGACATTAAGCTCCGAAGGTGGGCACCACACAAAAAGTTTGAAAGAGGCTGCTTTAAAAGTCTGGTCTATTAGTTTTGTCTGACAAGATGTATTCAATCTGAGTGGATGCAGTAAAATCACGCGAGGCACAGTACTCTTTGAGGAGCAGGAGTACTGTGTTTTAACATACACTGATTTGGAGAAAATTGCTTTCCCTTCAATGGAATATGTCACAAATTGGAAAAAAAGCGCAGTAATTACATAGAAGAGTTTGTTGGACAAATGGCGATAACACTACTTTTAACAGTAGATGCCGTCTGCTGGTTTGAACAATGTATAAACCAGATTCATAAATAACAAATCAGGAAGTCTGGACTACTGCTGGTTTTTCAGTCTTAGGCAGCGGTTGGACTTCATTTTTTTTCCTGACAGGTATGTCTCCCACTATGCTTTATGCATGTGTTTATGATGTTGGTGAGCCTTGACCGTAGCTGAGGATACCTTTTCTGTTAGCTGTAAGGACTGTGTTAGATGTGCATTGTGAGGTCAGAGAAGGTCAGAAGGCAAAGGATTGAGTCTCAAGGGAACGAGTGGCTGATCATAGTTTCGGTGCCATCTTAACCTGCTGTTCAGAATACAGTAATTGAATTTGGGGTTAGGGTCAGCAGGTGTGCAGAAACATACCCATCTGTCCACAGCTTATCAGGCACTCATGAGAGGAGTGGAATCAGTCTGGTGATCTAAGTTTTGTTCCATTCAGCCTTTCTTTGGCGCCCACGTGACATAGAGGTGAATGTAGTGACAGACATTCATAATTCTTTTCTTTTTTAGGGCTCTTCTAAGCTGAGCCAGGAGGGAGGGAGTTGGTAGGGTTATAGGCGGTCACAGAGATAGGGTGGAGCAAGACCGTGAAGGGATTTAAAAGTGAGAACGAGGATCTTGAATTCGATCCTTTGGGGAATTAGGGAACCAGTGGAGGTGGGTAAGCATAAGAACATAATAAGAACATAAGAATTAGGAGCAGGAGTAGGCCATTCGGCCCTTCGTGCCTGCCCCGCCATTCAATAAGATCATGGCTGATCTTCTCACCTAACTCTGATTACCTGCCCTTTCCCCATATCCCCTAATCCCTCTATTTTTCAAGAATCTATCAGTCTCAGCCTTGAAAATGTTCAAGGACTGAGCATCTGCAGCCTTCTGGGGTAATGAATTCCGTAAGTTCACTACTCTCTGAGGGAAGAAATGTTTCCTCAACTCTGTTCTAAGAGGCTGACCCTTAATTTTAAGACTGTGACCCCTGGTTATATCATGGGGATGATAGGCTCACAAAGCCTGGTGCGGGAGAGAAAACGAGCTGCAGATTTCTGAATGGTCTGCAGCTTGAGGAGGGAAGAGTTAGGAAGTCAGCAGCGAATTGGCAAAGAGCCTCTTTTTAACAAATTTTGATGTCTGTTGTGCAAAACATAATCGCTGAAGCATAAAGAATTGCTTTTTCAATGAATAAGACTGATCAGTGATCTGTGAAGCTTTTCTCAGAAGTGGAACCGGTGTCCCACCATTCTCTATTACATATTTATTACAAAATCTCAATGCTGCCAATTTTTAATTAGTTGCTGTACTTGTATGTTGTGCTGTTGCAACAGTTTCATATAGCTGACCATGTGGTTCTTCCAGCGTAAGAGGCTAAATCCAGCAGATTCAAATTAATGTATAATTGCAGAAGTTGGAGGAAAGTAGGGTTTCTTCCTTTGCTTTTTTTGCCCCTCACGTACCTGTACAGTGTTCTCAGAGTATACGCTGCATTGGTAGAGGTGCCATCCTTCAGATGAGGTATTAAATCAAGGTCCCCACTTTCCTGTTCAGGTGGACATTGAAGATCCCATGGCAATATTTATATAAAAAAGAGAAGCGTGTTTCGTTCTCCCAATGACCTAGTTAACCACCCCCTCGATAAAGTTTTCGTTCAATTCATGGCTGTTTGTGGGACATTGCTTTGTGCAAATTGCCTACAAACAATAATTCCTGTGAAGCTCTCTCAAGATGTTTTCACGATGTGATAATAGTTCATACAACTCATCAATACGCTCTCATTATACAACTCCCAACTATTTGTAGTCGGAGTGTTGGAGCTTCAATACCAGAATCTAAACGTTTTGTGACTTATTTTGGTGTAGCATGAGAATATGAAGGGAAGGATTAAAATTGCTATGAAGAGGCAGTATAGCCCTCAAAGCTTTTCAGAGTAAGTTTAACTGAAATTTTATGAATGTTGTATGCTCAGTTCCATGTGTCAGAGGAAAAATGACCAACAGTTTATTGACTCAAAACTGGAAAAGTAAAGAAACTGCATAGGAACAAAATAGAAAATCAGAAATGAAGGAAAAACTAATACTATGAAATATTTATTTTGCTACACAATTATTTTTCCATAAATTTACAAACACTGCATTATTCTCAAAAGGGCACAATTTCAGAATTATAAGTAACTTAGTTGACATAAGAAGTTTAAGAACTTTTTTATTGCAGTTGTAAAATTTAATTCTCCCCAACAAACCCTCTTGGAGTGAGTTGATAAGCATGTATTTGTTCTGCTTTGTACAGACAAGTGCATGGTGAAAGCAATTTATAACAAGTGCTTGAAAATGCATTCCAATCGTGGGGTTGGTTATATGCTTTTATTGTTATTGGTCTTTGCAGGTTAGATTTGATTACTATTAAACTTTGATTGCTCTAACAATTGTTTAGAGCATTTCCAGATTTGATACTGACTTGTGAGTGGGAGTCGCCATCGGTTTCACTAAACATTTTCTGTCTAAATTTTCATTTGGATTTGCACCAGTTGCCAAGGAAGACGCTTGATAAGATTATCAGTCACATTATACTGAAGACTGAATGATTTTTAAACAGGAACTCATTTAATCAAGCAAAATCAAAATTGAGGTTATTTATATGAATAGAGTATTTTTGCAACAGTTTCCCGAAATTCCCTATCTTATTTATGATTTCTATAAAATCACTTGAAAATGAAAAACAACTTTGTTTGGAGCCTTTTAAAAGCACATTTTGTCCAGGCATTGATGCATGTTCTTTGCAGTGAGCAGCTGTTTCTGTTGATCAGTAACTGCTAGCTGTCGACACTCCCACAGTGAGGATTACATATACAGTATGTTGAAAATTCGCCCATCTTGAAATCCCTCTGCTAAATGATCAAAAGAACATTTCTGTTCTTTTTATTATTCTTTGGCATCAGAGTGGGACTGGTATATTGTGGCTTAGTTGAACTGAATTAAGGTAGATGAGCTTCAGTTTGGGTTTCCCTTGCTGAGCTTTGTAATTATTTTTTTCAGTGATACAAACTCATTTTAACTTCTTGGCTCAGTTGTGCATCGATTTGGTCTCGATACAGAATTGAAGGACTGCTTGATTCTGTTACAAATGTATGTGTCTTGCATACGAGGGTTGTCGCTTTTGGAATCTAAATCCCATCCCTTAATAACCTTCATACCTGCCGAGATGGAATCGTTTTCGGGACTTCGGTGAAGCTGACAATCTTGTGTAATATTTTATGGAAGGATGTTTGACAATGCGAAAAAGTATTAAACAGCTAAATATTAGATTGGATGTTTTTGTTTCGATTGGTGTTCTTACTTTTCCTTCCCACCCCTTTTTGGTTTCTGACCTTGATGAGCGGTCACATTGTTTATTAGATTGTGGGAAGTAGCAGATGTTCATCTCCTGAGACCTTGTTTTAGTGACAGAATTCTGAATTCTCAGAATGAAAGATTAGAATGAAACCCACTGGTTACTGAGTTAAGACACCAGGAAATACAAGTTTGATACACTTGTATGTGTTTTTGACCATGCTAAAGTGCTTGGTAATTGCTGAGTCTTGGACTGCTTGATATGATTAAGGCCATGTCTGTAGTAACCATTTGTTTTAAATGTGTAAATGGTTGAATATGGAAAATCATTTCAGAGAAACACACTGAGTGTCTGATTTTGTGCATAGCTGGAATTGTAATACTTTATACCACTTTGGGTATTTTATAGGAACTCATTGGGGAGTTATAAATTAGATTTTCATTAAATTACTTATTTCACTGAGTTTAATTAGAAAAATGCAAAGGTAAAGGTGCAAAGACTGAAAAGAAAAATAAACTACTCAATTGGTCGTTCTCAATAATTATGGTTTGCAGACAGGAGCATCAGAGCCTCAATATTTTTAACCTTGCCATGTCTCAGGTTAGAATAAAGCTCTCTCTGTTCACATTATAGCTTTCTTGTATGAAGATGCATTTTGAGTAATTCCATTTTGCTGACCATAATAGATTGCGGGATACTAGTGTTAGACACTCATAATTGGGAAAATGAGGCTTGAAAAATGATATTAAATCCTAGAAACAGGGAATAGAGTTCTTTGTAACGAACTCTAGTTTTTGGATGGCTTATATACAACCAGTTTTGTGCAGAACCCATTTCATATTTGCTTAAATACCACTATTAAGATGGTAGTATAAATAGAGGTTACACAGCGTGATTCTGTTGGAACAGATGCTCCTAAAAACGATGAACTGAACCATATAATTGAGTTAATGCATTTGTAGAAAATATTGCACCTATTGTGACCTGATCATATTTTCTGTTTAAAAACCACAGTGTAAGACTTGCGGTTTTGCAGATCTACTCTTATGACACAAGATGATTTAAAATCCTTTAACCTTTGGGAGAGTAAATGCTCCATCCAAGCTTTACCTGGGTGAAAACAAATTCAGCAACATCAATGTGAGATTATCTAGATTATCTATGAATCTCTAATTTGAATAGTATCTGTCTCTGCTTTGTTGTTGCAGCTAAATCTTTGTGGCTCAATTCACTTCTTCCCCACCTCACAGATCAATCCTCGATTTATACTACAGAGGGATCCTCTTTTAGGATTTGTTTCCCGTTAAAGCTTAGCTAATCAGTTTCTGACAAATATAAAAGAATGTATTTCGGGTAACCTTCAAGTCTCTTTCTGACATTGAATTTTTAGGAAGTATTATAGCTGTGGTCACATGCCTGCAGCAAAGTAGACTACTAATGTTGATTGACCAAACATAGTGTTTTCTTTGGAAATAAATATTTGACCTGTTTTGAAGTAAGTTTATACTTTTGCAGAAAACCGTGTTTTATTCAAAGTTGAAAATACCAACCGTGGCTGCTCCCAGTTCTGCTGTGGGGAAATACAAAATGCCTTTTTGCCATGTTTTCTTTAATTAAGTTTGCCTGTTAATTAGGGAATTATAGCTCCATTAATCTATGATTTGCACTTATTCAGCACTCCCAAGATTCTACCCCACTTGAACGGCGCTATATAAATGCAAACTGCTGTTTATCACTTCCATGAATTTAAAGAGCTTTATTAGCATTTAAACCATTGTAAATACGTTTTCCCATGTTGAATGCTGAAGGCACTGCTCATAGAAGACTTGCTCAGACTGTGTGAAAGAATTGCACTGGACTCGGGAACCTGACTACTGGACCGCCCCAGAGGTCTGGCTCGATTCCGACATTCCATTGCTAGGCATGTCACCTTGGAGCCAGTTCAGCTCCGAGGAGATACTGCTTACCCCAAAGGAGGAGAAGATAATTGTATCTAAAACATTTAGCCATTCATTATGTAGAACGATATTGTACAAGTGGATGTGGCTGTAATTTCAGTTTTTAAGTAAAGAATTTTGCTTAAAATTTTAAAGTGTAATACATTATTTTGTTGTGTTATGGTCATACAATTCACTAAAATCGCCTCTTTCTGCTCATTTACAGATCGACCTAGAATAGTGGAACAGATATATTTACTTAGCAACAATGCCATTCCCATTTGGCAAGTCTCATAAGTCTCCAGCAGACATTGTGAAAAATCTGAAGGAGAGCATGTCGGTTTTAGAAAAACAAGACATCTCTGACAAAAAAGCAGAAAAGGTAACGTGCCATCTATGCCTTGCATTATGAAATCTAATCCATGTGATGCCTTGAAGATAAAACAGTGAGATAGTTGAAGCCTTCCTCGCAACTGAGTCCACATATGGAAATAAATTTCCCTGTAGTTTTGATGACTTAAATTGGCCTCTGTCGGTCAAACACTAGAGTTTGGTTAGATTGCAGTGTATAAGTGTGTTTCAGAAGATTCCTCCCCCTCCCCCTGGCTCGGTCCCGGGATCTGTTACTTTAAAGCACTCTGAGGCGCCGTCCGGCGTGGAGGGTGCTATATAAATCCAAGTTGTTGTTGTTTATTACATGAACGGATTTGATAGATAGAAAACTTCAAACACTGTGGTGTTTGAAGACAGCTCTGCACTTCATTTGAGATTGCTGTCTGGCAGGCAACCCATTAATCAATGTAGCACATAGATCCAATATTATAGACTAAACAACAAAAACAACTTAGATTTATATAGCGCCCTCCATGCCGGACGGCATCTCAGAGCACTTTACAGTAACGGATCCCGGGGCCGAGCCAGGGGGAGGGGGAGGAAGGTAACCAAAGGCGCGGTCGAAAAGAATGGTCTTCAGCAGAGACCTGAAAATGGGAAGAGAGGGAGCAAGACGGAGGGAGTGAGGAAGGCAGTTCCAGAGCCTCGGGGCATAGTGGCTGAAAGCACGGCCGCCGAGGGTGGAGTGGAGGACTTGGGGGACGAGGAGGAGGCCAGACCCGGAGAAACAAAGGCAACGGGTACTGTTTTGAGGAGAGAGGAGGTTCAGTGGGAACAGTGGTTCTTTGGCTTGGAGCACAATCCTCCTCCTCTATAATAATAATAATAATCCTTGTATTTGATATAGCGCTTTTCACGTCTTCTAGACGTCTCAAAGCTCTTCACAGAATATGCTGTAAATTGAATTGACCGTATATTTGTGAGAAAAACGTGGCAGCAGTGTCCCACAAACGGTCGTGGATTGAAAATGACCAATTATTGTTTTGTTTTTTGAAGGGATTATTATTAGGCATGTCTTTCTCCCCCACTCCAAAATAAAACTGGCAGCATAAAGTGAAGACCCTTTGCACCTTTAATAAATCAGGACTCAGTGAAGTCATTCAGTTTATCATATAATAATCATTGCATTATAGTGCCTTAACACATTGTCAGGATATGGCCTAGAACTTCACAGGATTTTACTGTGAAGTCCAGTGACTGTATTTATAGGTGAATGTGCACACAGCAATGTCCCACGGATAATCATGAAGTGAATGACCAATTTTATTTGTGGGATTGTTGGCCAGGGCACTGGGAGAATTCCCTTCTCTTTTTACATTGTGCTATGGGATCTTTAACATCCACATGAACAAGCACAGGTGGAACCTCGGTTTAAAGTCTCATCTAGAAAAACGGCATCTCCAACAATATTGCACATTTCCAGCACTGCATTGGATTGTCAGAAGCACAAGATCGCACTTTGGGTACGAGACCCTTATATTTTTGCCACTATTGTAAAGAGGGCAGTAGCCTCACATCCCTGTGTTAATGTAATAAATTATATGTTGTGCGTATCTGATCATAAGACTAAAGCACACTCATCAACCTTACACTATCATTGAGCTAACGGGTTTAACACATGATGGTATTGAGTTATAGTGGTTCGTGCATTTGGAGAGCTGAACTCTACAATTTCACAATTTTGTGCAATTTATCGTAGCAATTAGTTGTGAATGTGAAGCAATGGCATTGCAACCAATCAGCATCTCTTGCAATGAAATTGTACAAATTGCCTTGTAATCTTTCTTAATAACCATTTAATGTGGGATCTGCATAATGAACGTAAAATCCACGTGAAGATTTGTGCATCATATATTGCAGACTTGAGAATCTGGGGTGGGTGAGTTTCTTGTTTAAAAACTATATTTTTAAGAGGATGGATGCATTTCGTAATGACTTGAAGTTGCACCATAGTCTCATCGCTGATTACTATACTGGTGAATGTAGTAGGATATTAAAACACCTTGCGCTTCAATGTTGGAAAGGAAACGCTTGAATTCTTGTAGAAGTGTCCAAATCAATGACTAATTTGGGTTATTTCAACTAATTTTCTCCTTTGTTGCATACTATTATACCATATCTTCTCCCACAGCTAGTATTGCATTGTATTCAAACTACATGAACATTAGTCTCTCCAGGCATCAGGTCACAAGGTACAATCTTGTGATCAAAAACAGAAGTCGCTTGGTACACTCAGCAGGTCAGGCAGCATCTATGGAGAAAGAAAAGTGAGTCAACATTTCGGGTCCACGACCCTTTGTCAGAACTGGGGCATGTTGGGAGGGAGAGGCTTTTAAGGGCTAACAGAGAAGGGGGGGGCAGGGCAGGGAAGACAAAGGAGAAAATGGGGTAGAGGACAGGGGACGATGGGTTAAAGAGGTGTTAATGATGCCAAACAAATGGGATTGCAACAAAGCAGGGGAACAGGGGTGTTAATACTGCAGAACAAAGGGGTGGGGGGGGTTGAAATTGCAACAAAACAGGCAGAGAGAAAAGGTGTATCTGGGACCAAGATGGTCACAGAAGAGGGGGAATGTGAGCTGTTATGGTCTGACAAACACAAGAAAGGAAACAGATAGCAAAGGAGAGCAGGGTAAAACGGAAGAACGAAAGTTATGTCACCGAAGAGAAGAGCAGAACTTCTTCAAGATAGGCATTCCGAGAGGAGAAGTGGCAGTGAATTTAAATATAAGTAAAACACAAAATACTGCAGATGCTGGAAATCTGAAAACAAAAGCAGAAGTCGCTGGGAACATTCAGCAGGTCCTTTCTCCATAGATGCTGCCTGATCTGCTGAGTGTTCCTCGTGACTTCTGTTTTTGTTTTCAGATTTCCAGCATCTGCGGCATTTTGCATTTTGTTACAATCTTGTGATCATTTGGTGATGGAACAAAGGATGCCAGGAAAATACCATGACCATTGATGCACTCTATTGAATTAGGAAAGAAGTTAAAGACTTTGTTTTATCATTTAATAATAATCCTTTGCTCAGATTAAGGCTGTACTTGGTGATGGATGGTTTACCTGTAATGTACCAAATAGATGACTTGCACGGTTTTTAAACCAACTTCCTTAATAACTAATACATTGGTTTTCGATTGACCTAACTTGGATGAATGATGCACTGTGCTCACTGTGATTTTTTTAAAAAAAGTTTCTGTTTAATTGGAAGTGTTTTGTATCCTGTTTAAGGATGTGGGTTATTGAGTTAAGGAAAATGCTTGTATTCTAAGCGGTAAATTTCTAAAGCTGTATTGAATATTGATAAGTAAACATAGGACTGGTAAACATTCCATTGCTTTTGGTTAGTGGGTACATTTTAAAAACAAATGAAGCCAACCTTTTCATAATGTCAAATACACAGCAGTAGTAAAACCCTTGGAAAAAGAATTGCGATCTGTTGAACTTTTTTTAGTTTTTTTTCCTGAGACTATAGAGTGCATAAATTTTGGATATGCGATGATTATCTTAAATTGTGTCCCTAATAACCTTGAGTGCGTGTGCGTAACTTGGTGTGCTTGGTCACTGGACAATTTTTGGCTATCTCACAACCCTCTGTCCACTTTGTATTGAAGTGAGATGCAGATAAGTGGCTAGCTGGATGCGTGGCATTCTTTGGTGCTCAGAGACACATGAACAGCCCAGAGTGGCAAGTCCGTCCTTCCATTTCCTCGATCGATAATTTGCCTTGTAGGAAATTTCAGACATGAAATTTTAATACACTACATATGGTTACGAGTGAGTTCCTTAAGGACTGCTCAAAGTAATGAACGCTCCTGTCTGAATTGCTGTCCAGACCATCAAAGCAAGTTTCAAACCATTATTTAAAAGCATCAGAACCTCTTGCGAGCGACATGTAAGGAATATAAAGATTACTGATAGCATCGCTTATAACAACAAAATGATTTAGAGCATGTAATGAAATTTAATACACTCACTACCTTGTTGGAACACCGAGGAGAGTTCTGTACACACTTATACTAGCTAATGTTGAACATTGGTTAGCTTTATAATATTAATTAAAGACCGAGGAGCAAACGCAGATTAGCTTACTTTAAAACGCTTAAGGGCAATCCAAGAACTTTTAGAATTCATTTTAAATGTAAAGACATCAAGTGCAGCAGAATTTGAATGATGTTCATTCCTTTTTCAAACCAAAAAACTATGAACCGCACCAAATCTCCCGTGCAGTATAAATTGGGGCATCAATATGGGAACTTGGAGCTTGAGTAAATACCATTTGTATTTCACATGACCACATACATTGGATTATCTGGAAAAAATTCTCATAAACTTTCGTTTGTGTACAGGCAACAGAAGAGGTGTCAAAGAACCTGGTCGCTATGAAGGAGATCTTGTACGGCACAAATGAGAAAGAACCTCAGACTGAAGCAGTGGCACAGCTGGCTCAAGAGCTCTACAACAGTGGCCTCCTCAGCACTCTAATAGCAGACTTACAGCTCATTGACTTTGAGGTGAGAAAAAATATTTATATTTGTTAGTGCGTGCAGATTTACACTGAAATGGAAAACAAAATGATACACTCAGTGATCACGTATTCAGCGTGCAGACACAAAACAATGCAGAGATTACCTTCTTTGAATACAACACCACAATTCCGACTTGCATTGCACAGCCCTTGGGAGGAAGGAGCAGAATACAGCCCATGGATGAATGCTTAATAGCTACTTTGGTTTAAATATTCCAGGATTCAAAAAAGAGTGGGGTGGGGGGGGTTGGAAATTCAAAAATGAAAATTGAATTCTGTTTGAAACAATCCAAAAGTGTGCAGAATTCCTCTATTTAAATACAACTTTCTGCTATTAAAACAATTTATACAACCAATTGTATGGTAAAACAGCAACAGATCTTTGTGAGATTGAGACCACCTGTCAGGTAACTTTCTTTAACTGTCCTTCAGGCTCTCCTGGAATTTTCCATTTAACTAACTCGTTGATTACTGGCCACGCCAGGGAATTTCAGGCTCATGGCCAGAGCAAGCCTTTTTTGATTAACTTGCGCTATGAGATATTGAAGCCAATGTTAATAAGACTACTGGAATGCTGCAGGAAGTGAGGAGTAGCTGTATTTTTGCAACTTAAAATCAAAACAACATTTTTCTGATGTTCTATTCTCCATCTTTGTTTTCCCCCATTTTCCTCTTCCCATTTTCATTTTGCTATGTTCAAACAGAATATAACATTTTAAATACTATGCTTGTCTGTTCCTCTGTCTCCAGAGTCACACTGTGCATTCTGGAGCTGGGGCTCACATCTTCATATCTTGGCGCTAATCAGCTGATAACTGGCTCCAAAGACTGTTTTCTTCAGTCAGTCAAGGCTCAGGACATTGAAGATTACATCACTGAAGTGACCAGGTCAAAATAAATTTTTGGACTAGCATTGGGCTTTCGAGCCATTTGACAAGATCACTCCTGCTGGCCTGCTGACGTTGAAATTAGCTGTCAGCACCCTAGTGTTAATTTTCTGCTGTGTTTTCTTGGATTGTTCCTCTGATAATTTGTTGATATGGCTTGTATGCCTTGGAATTCTGCTAGCTTTTTCCTTTACGAATATTGCCACCAATCGACTCCCCGCTTGCAAGGAATCCATTGTAGAAGCAGAAGAGCCAGCGGTGCAGGGAAAGAAAAATGCTAACGTAAGGAGAAAAACAGATAGACAAAGCAAAAATATGTTCCACAAAATCCGGATTTATCTAATTCTTACTATTTTAGACCTCCATCGGTGTAATTATTTGGAGGAAAAATGCAGATAATTCTGGGAACACTTCTAGCGATGTGCAGCTAAAATAGATTTTGCTTTGAATCAATTACCAACAGCTGATAACTTTCTGCACTGCCCAGTAGCTGGCATTTCATTGCATCTATTTCTAGTTAATTATTTCTTGTACTTCTACAATTAACAATTTGAATTATTCTAAGCAATTTAGATTGAGTAGAGAACTACTTTTTGGTGGTGATATTGTTTTTTTATTGAGACTGCATGAGAGCAAAATCAATTGGATCAAATCTTCTTTCTAGTAATTTGTCAATTTTTAATGCCAGTTAGTAAGCATCTAAAAAAAACTAATCCTACGAGAATGATTAGCATCAATTTAGGATATGTTCCTCTGTTTGTGCTAATTTTTTTTGTTTATTTGTATAGCTCAGTTTGTAGTTTCAAATGCAAATAGTGTAAAAAAGATTCTAAGTAGAATCAGACATAAATTGAAGCCCCAATATACAACTGACTGCTCAAACTCCAGTAACTCTGCATTGATTTCCTTAAAATTAGTGGCGCCTACTTGTATGTTTCTGTCAAGGGAGCGTATCCTTCCATTTCCGCCTCCTCTCTCAATCTCCCCACCCCCCGCCCCCACACACACGCGATTATCTAATTATCATCTCTACATGTGGAATCCTATAGCTCAGTAGTTAGAGCACTTGCCTTGCAAGTGAGAGACCATGGGTTCAATTCCCGGCAGGGTGAAATGTTGCGCAAGTTTCCTTATACCTCTGTTTACCTAGCAGTATGTAGGAACCCGGTTGTTAGTCGATTGGCGGATTGCTTTTTGGGGGGAATAATTCCTTCAAAAAATAATAATAATAAATTGGTCACTCAATCCACGAATGTTTGTGGAACACTGCTCTGCGCAATTGGCTTCCATAATTCGCCCACAGAATATACAGTTACTCCACTTTACAATATATTGTGTGAAGCGCATTGAGAGGTGTCAAAGACATGATATGCAAGGATTATTATTACATCTGTTGTCTTCATTGGGGTAACTCTTAAGTGCAGTCTTCTGCGAATTGCTAATTCCTCAGTGAAATTTCATACTTGCCTCTGCCACTTTTAGACCACTAAGTATTAGGAGTGGCTCGTTCCTCTTACATTGGGGATTAGTCTTGTTCCTCTCCTTCAGTAGAAATGAAAATGAATATTATGCAGGCAATCTGGTATTTCAAGCCATTTTCGTTGGCAGTATATTGTTCTGGCTGTACAGGAAGGAGTGCGAGAATAGAAGAGAGTTGTTCTTTGTCTATACGTTGGGTGTTCCAGTACAATTCTTCCTTTTTCCTCAGGTAGAATCTTCACCTGAGCTTCACAGTCCCATTAGATTACAAAGAGATTGTGTACTGATATTTTGCCAAACCAGTTTTCCAAACCCCAGGTGCACCACATGCCCAATGCTGGTCTGCCAACTGTCTTGTTGTCTGTCCAAATACATAAACAAGGGAAGTAGAGATCTGTATCAAGCCTTCGTAAACTCTTCACAATAAAACGTTTGTGTATATGATGGGTTCCCTTAATTTCTCAGTGTTCTGGACTAGAGTCTATTAACAGCTGTCAAAATACCCCTCACAGATTGAGAGAAATTGAATGAAATTGAACAATAATTTGACAAAACTGTTACTACTCCTTGGTGGTGTAGTGAAGGCATATGATTGATTGTATGGAATGAAATGTCACCAAGGAATGCAATTCCAGTTGGGATAGCTACATTTTTCTTGCTGTATTCAATTCATCTTTACTTTGAGGAATGGTTCCACACACTGGGTGTAAAGCTTACTGTTTCATTTATATCAATATTGCAGCTAACTTACAAAACTTTTTTTTGTGTGAAGAGAGCAATTTTTTGACTGACTTTAAATTTATCTTAAAAAGAAACCTTCAGCTGAGTACACGTGCCCAGCACCTTACGGACAATCTAGTCACAATTTGTGAGTGTGTAACTTATGAAACTCAAATGTCCCCTTCCATCTTCTTCATTACTATTTGATACTGGTAGAAGACATATTGCCTCTTGTTCTAAAACAGATCATAGAAAAACTACAAAGTTAATCGTTACTGCACATTAACCCTTAATATATGTTTGCAGAGTTTTATAATGCAAATATTCACTTATTAAAAACTACAGTTTGGAGTTGCTAAATAATGCATCAATTGAAACATTAATTATTTTCTTGATATTTTGGACAAGCTACATTTTGAAGTTTTCTGGTATAAAGTTATTAAATTTTTGATGGTTATTTGATTGTGTATGTGATTGGGAGTATGAAGTTTATTTGATGGAATGTTTGCCTTTGCTCACGTTTAAGACACATTATATGTTATTCTGCAGTGAGAGCTCTGAAAGGTATCATTTGTACTGGCTATTTTTGGGCAGGGTGGGGAAGCAAAACTAAACCTTAGATTTTACTGAAGGTAAAAAATTAATGTGTATAGTGTCAGTACTTTAGCTGTGGTTATTTGTCAGAGGCAAAATTATTGGATAAGAACAAATGAACTAAACTTGCTGTGACAGAGGTCATGGCTTGCCTCCAGTCTTAATCAATCCATTAGTTCTGCTTCAGGTATACACATCTAATTTATATTTTATTATTCACAGGGCAAAAAAGATGTGGCTCAGATATTTAACAACATTCTTAGACGGCAGATTGGAACTCGAACCCCAACAGTAGAATATATCTGCACTCAGCAAAATATATTATTCATGTTGCTGAAAGGGTATGTATAAAACCTTTTTTTTGTACATTTCCTACTCTTAACCTTTTCTGCTTTTGAATAATTTCTTTCAGTATATTTTCCTGTTCTCAGTTAAGTAGTAGTTAGTGATAATTAAGATGAAAAGAAAAATCTCAGCAGGTCTACCTTTTAAAGTCTATTCATCACACTAAATGTTGTGGGCCAAACACCACTTAGGTTGACATTTGTGTGGACCACAAAACAATCTAACAACAGTTTGGCACATAGAGAGAATGGTGCAGCCAAAAATTGAATGTAACGCTTGGCTAATTACTTCTCAAACCTTTCCATTCACACACACCCCTCCCTCTTCACTCACAATTTATGTTGAATACATAAGGCTAGTTTTCTTCTGCACAGAAAAATCTCTGAGGGGGTTCAATTTCTTTTGAGATACAAATTTGTGTTTTGTAGCCTATTTACTCTTTCGACAGATTCCAAATGTGTGTATATTTCAGGATACATGTAGTTAGTCCAAATATTGTAGTATATAGTATTTTACAGTTAATCTTGAGTGCAAGCTGTAATGTTTTGGTCATAACCTCACAACTTGTTTGAGGTTTGTTTCCTTTAACCCCAAAGCAAAAACCATGCATGATGGTGCATTTAGTTGACTCTGGACAATCTTCAAATCTTTATACTTTTTTTAAAAAAAAGTTCTGAACCTACTAATAAACTTCCATGTATCTTTGATGTATACTATACTTAAAAAAAACTACAACAATAATCAGGTTCAAACCACTCTGCTGTTAAGCACTCAGACACTACCCACATGAAGATTGCTGAATGCAAGTTATTTTTGTTGTAATCCCTTCATTGGTATAGCGCCTTCTATGTCAGGAGGACGTCTCAAAGTGCTCACAGGATATCATGTAAGATGTACTGGCTGTGTTTTGTGGCATACGCTGCAGCCTTTGAACCCAGCAGTGTCCCAAGTCACGACGAGAAGAATGACCAATCTTATATGGGGATTGTTGACTCGGACACTGGGAAAAATAAACTAAAATCTGAAGGTGTTTGTATTTAATGCGTCAGTGTTAACGTGTCTGTTGGTCATGATACTCTGTTAAAGAGAACCTTTGGCTGATACAGTACACTTTCCAGAATGGAAAATTCCATTGCTTGAGAGAGGGTTCTGAGTATTCTTGGCCGCTCCTATTAGAATGTTTTAACATAAGAGGAATCTTACCACGTGAACTAGTCTAGGTTGTTGCTTTATTCGGTCAAGTAATTGCTTGCACCAGTAGACATTAATTAAGCTGAATTCCATTTTAAATATTATTAGTTCTGTTCTACCCAGGGAGGTTTTTCAAACTTAATAGGCTAAACTGATGGGAAGTTGAATCCACTTAAGCAGAAGCAGCATTTCAGTAATTTTGCAAAGGAATTTTATTTTGATGATGGACTTTTAGACTTTAAATGTCAGTTTTTATGTATCAGCATGGGCAAAATTGTTCATCTTTAGCAACTTGCCTTTCAAGTTCATTTCTGTAACATTGCAATAGTAAATAGTGCTGTAATTATTCAAAACAAATTTCCCTGTTTGTGAATGTCACAAGAAAAAGAAAAGAAAATGGGCATCTTAAACTATACATTAAGTACACTTTTGTACACTGGGCACTTGTGATGAAATTGCGTTAAATATAAGTTAATCAGTAGTTTTTAAAAGAGAAGTTTGTTAATTGAGATTTTTTGACTTTTTTGAAAAATTTAAATCTTGAATCATTCAATCAGAATAATCCATGCCCGTTAAGTACAGTGGGAAATTTCTGTATTTGAGATCCAGGAATGGCGAGCTTTATTGAATGGGTGTAAAATGTGATCCGATTAGGAAAAAAGCTTTCATGTTGTATGTACTAAACAAAAATCTTTGAATTTTATTTCTGTAGGTATGAGTCGCCAGAAATTGCTCTTAATTGTGGTATCATGCTGCGGGAATGTATCCGGCATGAACCATTAGCGAAAGTTATTTTGTGGTCTGAGCAGTTTTATGAATTCTTCAGATACGTGGAAATGTCAACATTTGACATCGCTTCCGATGCATTTGCCACATTCAAGGTAATTCACAACACATCTAAGTATTGTCACTGTCGGCAACATTTTTCGTTTAGCTATTGAAAACTTTGAAACACATTTTGGAAGTGATACAGGGGTTTTCTTCTTAGCCCACTCCATTAAACAGTTAATCTAAAACAAAATTGCAAATTCATTGTTTGCCTGCTAAACATTAAAACTGTATTTGGAAAAACAGCAGATTCCTCTAAATTGCTGCTGTATTTGCAATTCTGTGTTTGAAGTTTTAAAATTCTCTTGTTTCTATTATTGCTATGAAAATGTTTTTTTTTGTTCTTGCAGGATTTGCTTACACGACACAAATTACTGAGTGCCGAATTTTTGGAACAGTATTATGACCGAGTAAGTAAACAGCGATTGCCATGGGAGAGCAGGAGGAATGAGAGAATGGAGAAGGCAAAAGGCAAAATAACTGATCTGATATCTACATTCTGTGCTGTTAGTAATGTGCTTAAAGATGTGATCCTTCCCAGGACTTATTTCTTTTTAACACATTTTTAAAAAAATATCTTGTTTCAATTTTGATTTGGGAGGGGAAGAGGAAAAAAAAGGCTGTAGCGGTTATTGTTTTTTGTCATTTAACCTTTACGTAATTGTACCTCCTTTCTGTACTGGACCACTTGGCTTATTTGTGGACAACAAAATGAGATTTAAATGAATTTAGGCAATCTTACTTAATCTTTTTTGGAGCTTATTGTGCTGGCTGACCATCCGGTGGAAAGCCACCTTGTGGTGACATTAACAGGCATACTTGATTCTACCATTTTAAATGCGGTGTGAAGCCCTGTACTAATCTGCCCTCTAGTGACAGTATTTATTTTTTGGAATGCAGAAAATTGCTGGTTTCTGAAATGGCATCTTGTAATTATTGACTTCCTGCTTGAAACTTTTTCCTTATAAGATTTGATTTGCAGTATGTTACAGAATAATGTTTTAGCAGTAAATTGGACTCTGACAAAGCTAATAATAATCCTTGCAATTGATATAGCGCCTTATCACATCTTCGAGATGTCTCAAAGCACTTCACAGATTATACTGTAAAGTGAATTGACAGTGTATTTTGTGGGTGAAATGAATGAGGTGTTTACCCATCTAAATACACTTCATTTGGTATAGTTTGTCAATTGACCCTTAAAAACTTAATTTAATGAATTAGCAAATACGTGCTTCTACTCGGGTTTTTTTGTTTGGTGATGGACACATTTGTGAGGATCTACAAGTTAAACATGTGTATAATCTCTTATTTGCTGAGGTAAAAGCGAGTATGACATTGAATTGAATCAAAATGCATAAGATTGTGTATTTTTTTCATTTCAGTTCTTCAGTGAATACGAAAAGTTACTTCATTCAGAGAACTATGTGACAAAAAGACAGTCATTAAAGGTAACAAAATCAGTTCCTGGTCTTGGTGTATATGGTGCTTTTCTATGCTCTTCTACTAAAGCAAAGATGAATATACAATAATGTAAAATCTTCCCTGCCAAATGCACCCGTGTACCTGTGCAGCAAAACATATAAATATTTCACAAGTTTAATGGAGCAGCAGAATACATTTTAACAGCCTTCTCTACATAGCCTATTCAAGCAAAGAGATTTACATTTTGCATTCTTACATTCTTAAACAGGAGAGTCCTTGTTCAAAAGCGCTTCTATTAAAGAAATCAAACCTGTTATAAAAATAATTAAATATTTGTGGTGAAGATTTCTCACTTCTCCACATTACCTGGGACTAGCCCCTTCTTATCTCAGGCCACTTCAGTGATAACAGTGATGGAGAGGAGTTGACTGCACTCTAGGATCCAGACCAATCCTGATCTGGATTGACCCTAAACCCAATGAGGTGAACGGGATTGGTCCTTTGGACCTGGAGCTGATTCAGAGCCGGCCAGCCCCCTTCGAAAAACAAAATAAAACTGTTTCAGGATGGATGATACTGTAATTGTTTTGACTTATTTGTTATAAGGAAATTAAGTTCAATATTCACTCTGATTTAGTTACTGGGAGAGCTTCTACTGGACAGACACAATTTCACCATTATGACCAAATATATCAGTAAACCAGAGAACTTGAAGTTGATGATGAATCTTCTGCGGGACAAAAGCCGGAACATTCAGTTTGAGGCCTTCCATGTATTTAAGGTATTGTTTTTGATATTGATCGATGCATAGGAATTGGGGAGGGGATGTGGGCTAGCAAGAGGAGATATTCTAAATTAAGAATCTGTAACGATCTTGATTGGCACATTCACCAAGTGTTAATTTCTTCATTTTAATAATCTATTCACTATGTGGGAATATGGTTTTGATGCAAATGTTTGTGTATGGATCACAATTCAGATGATGAAGGCATTTCAGGATACCGACCCTACCATACTTTCATCACAGCATCAAGCTGTCTTTTAAATAAGTTCAGTGTCCTGGCTTCAACCATCCTTCCTGGTAACCTCTTCCAGTCATTAAATATCCTCTGGGTAAAGGCAAACTTCTTGGAATCTGTCTTAAAATTGCCCTTTGGAATTCTAAACCTCTTATCGGGTTCTCTTGTTCTACTGTCTTGGTGCATCCTAAAGTATTGTTCTGGATTTATCTTTTAAATCCCAATTAGAATGTTATACATCTCTCTAAGGTCCCCTCAGTCTTCTTTCAAGACTTGAGACTCATGGATAGGTTTGTGTTCTTGGTGCACTACAATTGGCCCCAGTTCCCCATGGATAGGGACATGAATGTCATTGGTGGCTCCTTCTCCTGACCAGATCCCGTGACTTCTGCTGGAGATGTACGTGTGAGAATGCTGAGTAATAGAATGGCCTCTGCAGTAAGATAATCTGCCAATACTTATTCTGGTTAACATATGATTAATCACTTAGAGGAGGGGTGACACCTGTGGAACTGCACCCCAATAGAAGGAAAATAGTGCGCAATTTGTCCAAGGAGGAGAGAAAATTGGTGGATTAAAAATATTTGAACCCTTCAGCTAAGCAAGATAAATAATACATGTTCTCATGTTACTATGTAATTTGGGGTCTTTTATAGGTTTGCAAAAAAAGTCTTTGCCAAAATATACAGCAACAATTTTGTAATAGAGGCTAGCTTGATTTTTGAGCTCAATGCAGAAATGTTCATGTGGATATGTAAAGTTGTGTATATTTTCTCCCTAGGTATTTGTGGCCAACCCCAACAAGACACAGCCTATTCTGGATATCTTGCTGAAAAACCAGACCAAACTTATAGAGTTTCTCAGCAAGTTCCAGAATGACAGGACCGAGGATGAACAGTTCAATGATGAGAAGACATATTTGGTCAAACAAATCAGAGATCTAAAGAGACCTGCACCCCAGGAATCGTAAAGCTACATTATAAAACAGAACAGAAATTACGCGACTGCTGTCTACTGAACATCAAGCACCCTTATTCAATTCTTATGGAATATTACTGCTAATCTGCTGTCCAGTGAACAGTTTAATTTGTTTCTTTTATGTTTGAAGTCAAAGATGAAATTTAGCTGCTGCTTTCCTGCACATTAGAGCACAACATGGACTTTCTTGAAGGTTTTTTTTTGTCATTTGAAACAATGCAAACGCACTGTCTTATGGTTAAGCATAGGTAAAGGGGATCTTTGGTTTATGTGTAAGCAGGCATTTAGAAATTAGAATGGATTTATAAGGAAAGGATAACAGAAGTAAAACTGAGGTTGCATGCCTGGGATCTGGTTTTTGATCAGTTTATTTGCAACCTGTGTTGTGAGTAGGGCACAGATTTGATCTGTGCTGAAATCTAGACATACACCATAGTCATAAGGATTAAAGTGCTGGATCTGTATGCCTTTGATTTTTCTTTCTTATGAATGTGTGGTGCTTTATTTGTGATTAATTTAGATAGGCACATTTAACTATGGTGTACGTTTTCTGAAATCATTAATAGCATTTGCTCACAAATGGTTTATGGTGGAGCGCAAGCCTATTGACAAAAGAAAGGTACTCAATAAAATTCTCTTCGCAGTGCAAAGGTTATGTGCAACTGGTGTGGGGAAATCCAGCTTGTAATAGGTTTTCCAATCACCTTAGCAATGATTTTTGCCTAGTGTTTTGTGGACAGGGTTCCTAGCAACTCCTGCGTACCAAAGTGTGGCACGTTTTTAACAGGTAAACCTGTCCACAATCCAGGCTGAAAGCAAAACATTGCCACTCAGGTGATGAAAAATGCAATGTCTGATATCTTGGCTGAACAGCATTCCGAATGCTGGGCAAAGGATTGTATGTGAGCAAAAGGTTTTTTTTTAGTATGGGGTTGTTCCCCCTTAATGTATTAAGTAACTTTCAGAAGAATCTGTTGGAAAAGGGTGGTTCTTATGAAAAATGTACATACGCCTTTCATTGGTTTATAGATTTTTGCAGGCGATTGATTTACAGTATATACATTCAAACCTGTTTAGATATGTTTTTGTTTAAACTTATTCTCTGTCATTTGAGTTCACAATGAAACTCTGCACTTCAGTAAAAGCATTTGCTGTTCCTTGTACATAACCTTTAGGCCACTCTGTTCTAAAAATATGGTTGAATTGTACAGCGGAGGAATGTTACTGTATTAGTCTAACTATTTACCTAATATTGAGTTTTGCAAGCAAATGCTGGTATGTAATTTGAATATTTCTGCTGATCACATGAAATTGCTGATTAACATTTACAGTAGAACAGCATTCATAAGCCAATTCTGTATTTAAGCTGTTAGTTACTGGGCTGCCATGATCAGGACAGTATGAACTGGAACCCCCAAAACTGGATTTATGTTCACTAGTAGTGAGCCCTACACATTCAGTTACTAGAGTTTTTTTTAAATAATAAGCCTGCAGAAAGGTTCTTTGTTCATACGTATCCTTAATATATCAAACCAGGTTGAAGTTTAATGAATTTACTATTTCTGTTCAATCTGATTGACAACGTTCAGATTTTGCCTCAAAATTCACTTATAAAGAACGGATACGTTTTTAGGTCCAGTACAACAGTTTTATACATTGTGAAAATCTTAAGAGTACATTTGGAAGAAATTAGTGTAATTTTCAAAAGCATTCTTTATGATAAAGCTGCAGTATTTTTTAATGGGGTGTTGCATTAAAATATATTATGAATGTTGCACACTTACCAACCTAAATGTCAAAGTGACCGCACATCCTTTTGTAATCTAAAAATAGTTATAAATTCATTTAGCTAGTTTACACTTCATTATAATCATCATAATGACCCATCTTTTTATACTACTGAAAGTTCCAGGAATATTGCATTGGAATTCACTGATGTAAACTTAAAATGTGTGATTAAAATTTTATGCTGTGGTTAAATTCCTGTGAAGTGACTGGTAGATGCAGATTACTCAAGGTTAGCCATTTAACCATACCAAAAAAAATGTAAGAGAAAGACTACTGCAACAAAATGAAAGTAACACTGTCCATTTTTACTACTCCTTTCTGGGATAGAATGACAAACCTAGCCCTTGGCTGAAACTTACCTCCGCTATATTGCCTGCCATTTTATGCATGCCAACTTAAATATGCATTCACTCTTAACATAATTGCACAAATATACAGGTTTGGCCATCTCAATTCTCAAATGAAGCATTAAGGCTACATGTATAATCCTCATTGCATCTGGAAATACTCTGTTTTCCTTCCTTTCACTGGAAATGCTCGGTGGAGTTACTTTCCTAAAAGTTATGTACCTCCTGATAGCTGCTTTGAGCAACTCCCACAAAGCTTTTAGTTCTGCACTGGCTGATTTGCAAGACTGTCATGGTACTGAGAATTGGAATCCATGCATTATTGAATAATAACTTATATAATCCATATTATAATTGGGTTGAAAATCAAAGCATGAGGTCACTTTAGGAAGATGCCAAATATATTAGCATTATTTAAGATGTAGCATGTAAGTATGGCTAGAGCATTTGTAAGCTGTTATTTGTAAGCCATATATGATACTGTAATTATAGGTTGTATGGAACTGTTGTACTGGAACCTTAAAATCTTAGTAAAAACATAATCTCCAAAGACGTTTCTGCAGGATTTGAGCACAGTTTTTTTGAACAATTAGGCCTGCTTTACAGTAATCAAACTTGCTAAATACTTGTCATGTCTGATTAGAAAAGTGCATTTAACGTCAGAATATCTGACTGGCCCCAAGGATACAAATAAATTTTGATTAAACATTTTTTTTAGTGTTTGTGTGTTTATTTTGAAAGGTTATTGAATCTGTAGTTCCACCTTCACCAGTAAAATTCTAGCTCATGGATTGAGATGAATGCTAGAAATTAGAATATGCAATGTTTGTTTAATCTCACTCTCAGCTTGTTTGCTATCATGCAGTTTCCTTCCATCCTGATTAAAGGTATGCATTTGTAGTGTGGAATAACACTGAAGGAATTCACCTGGTAGCCCAAGAGGGAACTTGGAAGTATTGTATATGATCAGATGTCAAAGGGTAAGTTTCAAATTCTGCAAACTGTCTTGTGGATCCAATGCTTTACTAATAACTGCTGCCTATAGGCTTTATTTATGATTTTGGAAACTTAACCAGCAGCATACACCTTTCATACATAGCAACGGGATGGTAAATTCTAGCATTACTGGTCCAAAAGTTTGTTACGAACGCATTCAGACATTGGAATCAAACTTCAAAGATTTTTTTTATATAGAGGTTAACTGATTATAAGATAAAACTTAAGTTATCAGGCGACATAACCTTTTAATTTTAAAAAAAAGTAAGCTTCACAATGTTGCTTTGCTCAACAACCCTGGTTGGCACAGTAAGGCTGTAGAGATCAAAGAAAGCAAGAAATATAAAACAAAAATAGAAATGACAGGTCAGGCAGCATCTATGGAGAAAGGAAAGTAGATGCTGCCTGACCTGCTGAGTGTTCCCAGTGACTTCTGTTTTTATTTCAAATTTCCAGCAATCTGCAGTATTTTGAGTTTTGTTTATAAACAAGAAATATAGGTCACATGTTAGAAATGCACTGGATAAATCAGCATCTGGGAAAAGGATGACCCTTATTTAGAGCGAGAAGTTGTCTAATATTTAAATGTAGCTTCTGATTTACTTCTGGTCTCTCCTACTATTATTAATACTCTTACAGATTTCATACTATTCTACTCAGTCAATGGCAACATGAGAGAGCTGTATGAGAACTGTCTAAGATGACATTGAAAACCCTTCCAATATTGTGAAGTCATTCCATCTTTTATCCCGCAACTTGGTAACAGTGCATTGATGTAGCAATATGTCGCCTTACCAGTCAAATGAGTTGCAAAGCCAAACTGATTCACTGCAAACTTGTCCCACTGATCTGAGCAAATTATGTCAGCTTTTGGAAGGAACATTAATGCTCTTGAACTCCTTGGGACTGTAACATTTTAGCATTAATTAATCAGATTAGAGAGCTATAACCTCTGCTCCATCAGCTAGCAACATCTGTTCCTAAAATTCTCATGTCCCATTACAAGTAGTGTTCACTTGTTCATTATGTAGGCATATTAATTAATATGTTGATTGGATATCCTTCCAACCTTCAGTGGAAGCCCATTCGTCTGCTGGTCACAATAGCAATTTTTTTTTAATTAACACACGTTTGGAAACCTGGCATTTGATCAGGCTTAGTTTAAATCAGCACTGTCCAACCCTGTGGCCACTGGTCACATGTATACCAGCCCTTGAGATGTTTTAACATGATGAGGCAACAGAAGATCAATTTCACGGCTGCAAGTTGAAACAATTTTTTTTATGTGAAAAGCACTATATCAAACGCAAGGATTATTATTATATTTTAAGTGGCCACACCTGAAGAGCAAAATGGTCACTTGTTGCCAGTAGGTCCTGTTTGGACAGTGCTTCAATACAGTTTGCTGCAGGATTTAGAATATTCCAAGTATCTATCCATGCAACAGAATTTCTAAATGATCTAAATATAAAATAACTTTCAACTTAGTCTATGAAATGCTCACATAGAATGGCAAACTGATGAAAGGTCACTTGCAGGACTTCAAAGCTGTTTTGATGTACAGTATCGCCATCAGCAACTCACTTCTAAGCATTCAGTCAATAAATGAAACATTGAGCAAGCCTGTACTTTGTATAATAATCCTTGTATTTGATATAGCGCAAAATCACATCTTCAAAATGTCTATATATTCAAAGAGTGTACAGTTTGTGCAATTGGTATGGGTTCTCTTTCAAATCAGACAAATGTACAGACTAACCCTTGATGATAACATTTCTGGGAAGAAATTTGATTAACAATCTGCACTCTTACATTTAATTTCCTGTTAGTATGAACACCCTCAGAGAGCTTAATAGAAATTTAGTACGGAATGCACTTTTACCACCAGGCTGCTGTATTTTAGCTATTCTATTTGAACTGATCGCTAACAAAATGGATACTGGTCTCTTTGTGATTTAGAAAAGCAGAATCTCAAAAGATGCATTTCAGTTAATGAAACCAAATTAGCTGTGATTTCCTTGGCCTGGGGCTTCTAGATTTTAAAAAAATCGCATTTACTTATTTTGTTTTACATACGTATGATTTTCTATTGTTTTACATTCAGATACCAGCCTAGGCCTCAGTCCTAAACTGTGTTGCTCACCATACCACTTGAAAAGGAGTCTTCTGGGTATTTGCCGAGTGAGAGCTCAAGTATGTTTTTTTTAAGCTTACTGATGATCAATTGCATCTATCCTAGGGAGAGGAGAAGATAAGCTGAGCACAGCCCTGCTGATGCAGACCATATTATTGTAAGATCAAATCTCCTGTAATGTACATGATAATAACTTATATTTATAGACACGATTATATTTGTATAGCGCCTTTCACATCGGGAGGACGTCCCAAGGCGCTGGACAATGTACAGCATTTCAGACCTGAGCTGGGGTCGGGGGGGGGGGGGGGGGACAAGGGAGGGGAGAGGTGGCCGATGGCATGGTCGAAGAGGAAGCTCTTGAGGCGAGACTTGAAGGAGGCTAAGCAGGGGGCGAGGCGGAGTGATTGGGAGATGGAATTCCAGAGGTTGGGGGCAGAGTGGCTGAAGGCTCTCCCACCAATGGTGGGGCGGGTAGGTCGGGGGATGTGCCAGAATGGAGGGAACGGACGGGTTGGTAGGGGTTAGGAGGTCGCAGAGGTAGGGTGGGGCGAGGCCATGGAGGCGTTTGTAGGTGAGGACCAGGATCTTGAGCTGGATCCTCTGAAGGAAAGGGAGCCAGTGGCGTCGGGCGAGAATGGGGGAGATGGGGTCACGGAGTTCGGTGCGGGAGAGGACACGGGTTGCAAGAGTTCTGGATTATCTGCAGCCTGTGGAAGGAGGTGTTGGGAAGGCCGACAAGCAGGGCATTTGCATAGTCGAGCCTGGAGGTGATGAAGGCATGAACAAGAGTTTCAGCGGCCTGATGGGTGAGGTAGTGGCGGAGTCGGGCGATGTTACGGAGGTGAGGGAAGGCAGAGCGGGTCATGGCTTGAATATGGGGAAGAAAAGACAGTTGAGGGTCGAACAAGACACCTCGGTTCCTGACTGGCTGGTGAGTTGATGTGTGCAACCATGGAGGTTGATGCTGCCAGAGCCTGAGGTGCAGAGGCGCTGGCGCGCGCCGATCAGGAGGGCCTCAGTCTTGTTCACATTCAACTTTAGGAAATTTGCCCTCATCCAGGATTTGATGTCCCACAGGCAGTCTGTCAGTGGCCTTCATGTAAAATAATGTGGGAAAGCTTTACCGAGAAAGTGCCAGACACCAAACGGGGAGGTTGGGAGGAGGAGGTTGGTGATCCTAGGTATGCTTGAAGAGGTAGGTGTTGATAATGGACAGAAAGGGGTGAATCGTGGATGTTCCAATGGGTGGGGAATAGTGGCTGATGGTGGAGCTGTAGGGGAATACACAGCAGGCGGTTTGCCAATTAGAGGGCTGAGCACGAGAGTGATGTTGGAGAAGATCACAGAGGTAGGAATGCGCAAGGACTTGAAGAGATTTATAGAGGAGAATAAGGATCTTACAGTTAATCTACAAGGGCCAAGGTGGGCAAGCAAAGTTCTGTACAGAACAGGATGTAGGCATCATCGAGTTTTGCTTGAGCTGGAGTTTGTTTATGGTGGAGCTCACAGTTCCAAGGCGCTGAAAAGGGCTCAGGGATGAGTTATCCAGAGTGGCGAGTTAGGCGTGTGTATAAATATAGATAAAAACAGTCGGGATGTTGACAGCACGAGTTAAACAAGGGTTGCGTTATCAGGAGCTTACTGTATGTGCGACATGTAAAGGCTTGCACAGTACAGGTGGCTGTGGACACTCACTCACTCTCCAGGCTGATGAGTGAACTTTGGTCATTAAGATGAGGACGTGGAGTGGCTGCTGATGTCTTTGGAATCGAAACCTATTGCTTATCGTGAGGTAGAAAACTGACACCCGAAAAAAAAGGTGTCATTTTCGAGGTTTCCAATGCGAGTATTATTATGCGGGTACTGTGGGTAAGGACGCTGTGTGGTTGAAATAAAGTTTTTTTTCCCCCTCATTTTTGATGAGCAGGAGGAGGCTTTTTCTTTAAAAAAAATTCCCCTCCCTGCCCCCCCCCCCACCCCAAATAAAAAAATCCTGCTTGAAAATCAACTGAATAATATTTCCTACATGGAGACATTTCAAGCACACACTTATAAAGTCAATTCACTTTACAGTCTTCTAAGGAAGCGCTTCGAGATGTCGAGAAGACGCGAAAAGCGCTATATGAAATGCGAGGATTCTTACCATCACCATTATTATTATTATTATTATTATTTATTGATCCAGAGGGGTGGGAGAATGGGCAATTATTATTATTATTATTATTTTAATATCACGTCTTCGGCACCGCCTACAACTCTGTCATTCTTTCTCACGTCAAAATAATTGGAATGAATACGAAATGGGCGTTCTCTTTCCTTTCAAAAAAAGACACAAACACACACACAGATTCCTTTGGTTGTGTAACCCTGAAACTGCCAGAGAGCTGTGGTGTTGGGGAGAGAGAAACTGAAAGAGAAGGATCAGCACCAGAAAAGCCTGACATTGTTTCAGCTGCAGAGAGAAAGATAGAGAGAGAAAAAGAGAGAGAAAAAGAGAGTTTAATATTAATATTAATAAAAAGGACATTTTTTTTTGCATTTTTTTTTGCAAAAAAAAAATTGGAAAATGGTGATGATCGCTCTGCCCTCACTTCTGGGGCAGAAAACAGACGCCGAAGCGGATAAAACCGAGATTCTGATCCCCCAACAAAATGTGAGTGGGTTTGATGTGTTTTTTTTTGGGAGCAGTTACAGTAATGTCAACAGTAAATAAACAACGTTGCAGCTGTAACCTTCACTGCTGCATTGTCTGTGTCTGTCTGTCTGTCTGTCTGTGTGTTGACAGTGTCACAGATACAGAGTATCATTCATTATCTATCAATTAATTGAGAGAGAAATAAAACAAACCCTCTTCTCAGAGTTCTATTCTCTGGGATTTTTCTCTCTCTCTCTCTCTCTGTATTTTTTTCTGTCCATCCAGGGCTGACACACCAGGGGAAGGAACTGGGTTGCTCAAGGCTGTTTGGGTCAGGTTTTCCTGTGTGAAATGAAACCAGACGCTGTGGGTGTTTTTTTTTGCTGCTGTTATCTTCTCAATCTCACATTTCTGCAAACGTTGCATACAGCAAATTTCGATTTGTCGCTGTTTTTTTTAAATATATATATATATCTCATCAAATGCATCTTTTGCTGACCAGAGGGACAGACTCTGAGCAATTGCTGCTGTACCTCTTCCTCTTATGCTATACATGGATTGGGTTTAGTCTTATAAAAATATAAATATGCCAGGAATTCGGTGGGTTTCAGTGACATGATTAAATTGGGTATATACCCTTTTTGATGATGGTTGTTTACATGGTAATTATGGATTTTTGTTTACCAAACCACAACATTAGCCATGATGTCCCCACTCAAAGCCTCTCTTGTCTTTTTCCTCCTCTGCTCCAGCCCCCCCTCACCACCCTCACCATGTTTTCTGGTCCAAACCACAGTGGACTGCTTCCCTAACTGCAAAAAAATCACATTAATTTACTTCCTCCACCTCAGTCTTCCTGCCCAGCAACACCCCCACCACTCCTCCCGACCATAGCATTAAGCTCAGCAAAACCAAAGCTGATCTCAGGTGAGTCACTGTGATCTCACAGACTGACCCCAGCTAGGAAACGGGTCCTTGACTGTCAAAAAGGCTCAGCGCTTCAAAAAAAAAGTACAACAGACTCCTAGAGGAGCAGGTCAAGGCTGGAGCAAGAGGACTCCTTCATTGCCAGTTCATTAATCCCGCCAATATAGGATGGAGGCCAGAATTAACCTTGATTCTCCCCCACTCAAACCCAAGAAACCTCTGAATGGCCTAAAGGTAAGAACAGTGGCCCAAGGCAGGGACACCAGACTGCACACACACCGCCCCATCCCCCTCTCCATCCTGCACATGTTAGAACATGCCTTCATCGGGAAGCTGAGCCCTTCCATGGGATTTCTCTCCAGCCTCTGCTCCACACGAGATGCTGTAGCATCAGATTTAAGCAGCCTGGCAGACAGCAGGAGAGAAAGACTGGGCATCCTTTCCACCAAACAGATTTCTACTGCAGTCCGAGTGCTTAATTCTCGATTTTTTGCACCTGCAATTTATCACAACTCTTAGTTTATGAAGATTCAAGTAGCTGTACAGTACTTAGTATCTTATTGCCTTATCAATAGATTTTATGCTATGAATTTATCACTTGCAGCCACCCCTAGGAAATCATTTCCCATCTAATGGTTTATACAAACCTGCATGTGGAGGTGATAAATACTGCTTATTAACTGCAATCATAATGTTTTTCATTGTGATTCGTATTTATTTGGCTCAAGAGCTGGTTTAATTATTTTACTGATCCATTTTGTTGCAATGCAAGATTGTGAAGTGGTTGCATTTATTGAAAGATGTGAATAATGTGAAGCATGTTGAAGACTGATGTCTGCGGGGGAAAAGTCTAGGCGAGGTCCACTATTCAGTGTGTGGAATAAGTCTCCTAAAACTTGCTCCTTGATTTAAACTAGTTTTCATCATTTAATCTACATTGTGAAAATGAGTTCCAAGCAAGAAAGGGAAAAACTGTTTCCACTGGTGGGTGTGTCGGTGTCAAGGTCACACATTTAAAATAGTCTCTAAAAGAAGCAGAGGGGAGGTGAGAAGAATTTTTTTCTCACAGCGAGTTGTTCGAATCTGGAACATATTGTCTGAAAGGGTGGTGGAGGCTGATTCGATAACTACTTTTAAAAACGCGGTGGACGGGTATTTGAGGAGGACTGGTTTCCAGGGTTATGGGGAGAGAGCAGGGGAGTAGGATTGACTTTTGGGATTGCTCTTTTCAAAGAGCCAGCACAGTCTCGATGGGCCGAATGGCCTCTTTTTGTGCTGTACGATTCGATGATTCAAGATATATTTCCGAGTATCCGGTGGAAATTATTGACTATATTGCTACAAGTTTTGGACTTTTTTCCAGCAGATAATGACAACGAGGTCATTTCTGCAGGGACTGTAATGGGAAGGGAGTTAAAAATATCAAGAATTTAGATTTCACAAAAGATTTTTTCAAGAAATGAGCGATAAGAAATTTCCTGTGACTTAAATATCATCTAACATTTGCTGGGGAAGATATTTTTTTCTCTCTCTAAAATCTAGGTTCTCCCAATGACCATGTGCCACAGCAGAATAGAAGGTTGAGTTTTCTGATATCAACTGAGATAGACTGTAGCATTCAACAGTTAGCCTCAGTTCTCTTGGAATAGGGAGGGTAAAGTAAGCCAGTGTTCCAGTTCTGAGTTGTCATTGTGAGATCCCTGTAGGAGGATGCATACTTGTGGACAAGATTAGATTCATTTGTAATGCCCCTGAGGTCATATAAACTGCAACACACATTCTCGGGGATCACATAGGAATAATGATCACCGGAGTTTATGAGAAGCCAAGTGTTTTTAGATTAGCGTTATAGAGCCTCCGTCGTTTGTGACGTGAAAACAATTGAAGTGGGGAGGGTTATGAAACAGTAAAGTAATTTACCATTACCTTTTATGTACACGTTTGGGAGGCCTTTACCAATGTTAGCTTAAAATGATGAATAGATCGGTAATTTGGCACACCTGCAGGGAAATTTCCATCAGAACATTGATGTTCAAAACAAACTGTTATATCCTCTGAAGGTTTGAATCAATGGTTAGGCAGTGCCTCTTTACCCAAGTTGTATTCTAACACCTCAATGTAATGAGACTTTATTAAAGTATATAGAGTCCGGTGACCAGAATAACATTGATTTAATTTGGGTAAGAACATCTTACGAGATTTTGGTATACCCTCCAGCTGCAGCATCTAAGCAGTGCACTGTCACAGGAGAAGGAATTCAATCCCTTGTGTGGAGCTCAAACTATAAACATGTAACCCAGAGGCAGGAATTGCTGTCAACTGAACTACACTGTTAATAGAGCAGTCTTTAAAGTGCCACATCCAAAGATTTTCTCTCAACCATCAAAATGACAAATATCTGGCAAAGAATCTTCAATTTATCGCTTTCTTTGCAGGTCAGCAGTCTTTAACTGCTCGATAGCAAAATGCAATGCAATAAAATGCAATTGGAATAAGATACCTGTAACTCTCTGCAATTCATTTCCCTGGTTATTGCAATTGAACCATGTTTTTAATTTTTTTTACTACACAAGTATAAGCCTTAAGCACATTGCCTTTCAAAAGAACTATGAAAAAATAGCTTCCATATTAAGACTACATTCAAGATGTTACCATAATTCTGCAGGATCTTTGCTTTTGAGTCTGGGATTTAAAGCTAACACCATGTGAAGTTTTCAACCCCTGCTATTTTCTGGATTACAAATTCTTATAATGCAAAGGTGCCAATATGACTATTCAAACACATGCAGTATGAGGCCCACTTGATGCCCTGACTGTAAGTGTGGCAACTTGAGCAATTGTACAATGTGATGTCTCCCTGCGGTCATCATGAAGCAGCTGTGCTTGTTAAGATTATAACATTGTGACATGTCAGTGTTTCATTGCATTGTTGTTTTCTGCCCTTCGCTGTGTCATTGTGCATTTGCGAAATGAAGTGCCGACTTCATGATCTACCAAACCCGAGATGTACTGAGATTGGAGGGGATGCAGAACAATTGATGCCTCAACACTTTGCAGCACTGAATTATAGGAAATACACTCTAATTAAACGCTTTGTTTTCATAAACAGGCTTTTCAAGATGCATAACCTGAAATAAGAGACAATAAGAGGCAAGGTTAACACAGTAAATAATAAAAATACCTTGTAGTTAGTATATCTCCCTCAGTTTTAAATGTAACTCTTCCGACAATGTGTCACTTTGAAGTGTAGTGATTGTTGTTCATTTTGCTAAACTTAGCAGCAAATTGAATGAACAGCAATTTTGAGAATGTATTGTAAGGTTAAGATGAGAAGAGTTCACTATCCCACAGCTTCTGTTATGTTGGTTGGCACATTGTTTTATATTGAAATTTTTAAATTGTACCTTGTGTCACATTGATCCAGAAAGCTGACTGAGAAAAAGCACACTTCCATCTCCATTACACCAGGAAACCACCCAAGAGTTATTTGGGGAGGTTGGTAACCAGAAACCAAGATTTCCATTCTTTCCACATTTTAGTGATTTTCAATAGCCAAATATGGAACAGATTTTTCTTAGAGAGAAAAAAAATTGGGAGTAATTACAGGGGAAATTGCCATTTTAGGGACTCAATTAAAAACCTGTTCTTTTATTACTTCTCAGGTGTCTCAGTGAGTGAGTCTCCGCAGTAAATGTGTTCAGCAGCAGGGGGCAATCAAAATATTGAGCCAGAAGTCGTTACTCTATGCCTCTTGGAAGTCCAGTTCTGGGAAACAACAATAATGTTTGCTTGGGAAGGGAAAGCAATCCCCATTGTATATTATTGTTGCAATAATATTTGTGATAGTCTGTATAATGAATGATATTCTCACTTGTGGAGGACTCCCATCACTATTGTGTCAATACGGAATTGATGAATTTGTCAGATTCATTTCACACATGCCCTCTTCATACCCAAAGAGCACATTGGGGATGAGAGAGAGCTGTGGATACAATGAACAAAACATTTAAAATTAAATCAACATGTATTATTAATGTAATCATCTCCTGACAAGTTATAGTCGATTTAAAAATCATTAATCATTGGTTTGG